TTAATGTCACTGCAAAGTCTCTGCAACATTGCACTGCAATATGCAATCTTGCAACGTTGTAGCAATGTTGCTGCAAGCTTCTGTGCTGTATGGGCATTGCTGAGATTCGAGCCTGAGACATCTCCTAGGTAGCAGACTTATGTCAAAGTGACATCCAAATCTAAGTAATTTTAGGATAAAAAATAACCAAAGAATGATAAAAAATATCGTGAGAATATTGTCTAAATGATAGTCTAATGTTGCAGATGACGACATTTTAGACGACTTAATGATGTTTTATGACGTCTCTAAACGTCAATAATACGTTTTTAAGACGTTATACAGAAACGTCATTAAAATTTTATAAAAAAGACATTTTAAAGACGTCGTTATTTAGTCACTTGACCAGTTATGACCAGTTATGTACGTCATTTTGACGTGAGTCTGTTACTTGGGCTGATTCTTGTGTCGTTCACCTTACCTATTGCGTCACTGTCACTTTGATTGAGAGACGCTTTATATTGTGTACATATGGTATATCCATATACGAAAGCATATGATTTATTTAAAAGAAGAGAATAGATTCTTTTAAAATATATGTTTTAAAAAGTATGTAGAAAGTATATTTAAAAAATATTTACATATTTTAAAAGTAAGTAAAATAAATTATTTTGTAAATTTAAATAAATTTTTTTCTGATAATAAATGAAACTTTAATTTGAAACATAAAAAAATACTTTTAATAATAGAAAATAATTTATTCAGATTTATAAAACGATTTACTTGTATTTTATTTACTTTCAAAACAAGCAAATATTTATTTAAACAGTTTTTACGTTTAAAAACACTAATTTTCTCCTTGTAAAGAAATCATTTGTTTATTCTTATATATTGTTACGTTTGCGTCGGACGCCGGGTGCATTGCAGCCCGCAGCTGCGAAGCGCTCTCCTTGACAACCGCGTTGTTACGCGGTTGTGTTCGTTAGAGATGGTCCTGAGCTGTCAAACCGTTCGGACATGCGACGCATCTCTTCGTTGATATTCAGGAATATAATAATCTTACATCGACGAGTTTGTACATAGCCAGCAGCATTAAATTCCTTCTTAGTTTTCCTAAAGAGTGTTTGACTTCTTATCGCGTGACCCCGCGATCACGAGCGCGAGTGTGAGACGAGGCGTAACATTTTGGGGGCTCGTCCGGGATCCGAACGACGAACAACGAGCAATGAGCGAAAGGAATGTTATCAAGGACGCCGACACAAATAAGCCCGAGAATCACGCCTGCAGAGGAGGAGGCTGGGATACCTGTGACCAGGAGAAAGGCTCGAGAGCAGGCTTCAGAGCTCGCGTCGGCGGAGACGGTAACGCTGCAGGATGTTCTCCTCGAGATCCGACGGCTACGCGAGGAGCGTCATGAGCAGACTCAGAGGGAGGCGGAACTCTCAGCGAAGCTGCAACAACATGAGGATGAGCTTCTCCGGTTACGGGAAAACCAGATAAGTCAATCTGTTGTTAGAGCGTGTAGGGATTCGGATTCGCGACATGCAAATGAGGAAGACGCGCGCGCGGAGTACGGTTTTAAATTAAAGACGGATACGTATGATGGGTCAGTTCCGTTACGAGAATTTTTCGTG